TCTAAGCTAGTGGTTCTCAAGCAGGGACGATGTTGAGCTTCAGTGAACACTGGGTAGCGTGCGGAGACATTTTGGTTTTTAAAACTGGGATGATGGCATTGACATCTAGTGTAGGAGACCTGGAATGCTTCCAAACATTCTTAAAATGCACAGGACAGACCCTGTCTCTTCTGGTTCCTTCTCCCTCAGACAAAAAGCTATCTGGACCTAAATGTCAATTGTGCTGAGGTTGAGAAACTTTTTCAGAGAGTGCTTGGACACTTCATCAGCTGGCAGTGAGAAACACCCAAGGAAGCCGTTCTTTTATTTCTTCTCTTCCTGCCTCTTGAGTGTTTGAAGGAAAGTCTGGTGTGGCTTTGTACAGCCTTAGCATCCTGCTAACTGTTGGTAATTTCCTTTTTCCACAGCGGGACAGCCTTAAGCTCACAGCCCTGAACAGGCAGCATTTTCATGGTGACCTGCCATCAAGGCAAGTAGCTCTAGGGTTTTCCACTTACCAGAGTGATGAGGATTACCTTTCTAAAGAAATCTTAAGCAAAATAAAAAGTGGATCACTTTTAAGAAAAGCAGTTAATAGTCACATTCCAGGTCCCCAGAGCACCAACTGGGTGTCAAGCCTGTTCCAGGCACTGTCCATACTCCACTCATTTAATTCTCACACAACTTTGTTGTATGTACTTAAAGGATCTCAATTTATAGAAGTGTCTGGGTGACAATAGAGAGAGGTTAATGCTGTTAAAAGAAGAATCCTATTAAGAATATAAAAGTGTTATTGCATGCATCTTGCAAGAGTCTGGCATTGTTTATTTTGAGAAGTGAGATGTGTGCCTTGGTTATTATCAGTAATGTCTGTAACTCCAAAGAGAATAAGGAGTGTCCTGGCAAGGCTTTGTACTGTGGCCTTGGTTGTGTAGACATATGATTTTGATTTGTTTTTTTCAATGAGGGAAGAGATTCTCAGAATTCTTTACCTGGAAAGGGACAATTTTTAGGCAGTCAGCAGTTTGCAGTTAATTTGAAGATGGAGCATTTGGTGCCAAGTTGACTGCATGAAGTTTGACCAAGTGTGTTATTCTTTGGGTCCCATCCTTTCTCAGAGACATCCTGGCTAAGGGATAGAAAGCAGCAACAGTCTACTGAGCTTCTTCACTTTGGGTACCAGTCCCAACCCTGTATGTCGGTGCCCTTAGTCCTGGTCGTGACAAGGGACTGCGAAAAGGAAATAGAGACACAAGAGGAGAGTTTACAGCGTTGGCCCCAAGCTCTGGACTCCAAATACTTATATTATGTGCATAATTTCGTTGATCTTATAGGCGTGGAAGGGGAGGGTGAAGGGGTCTTATGAAACATGCTGGGTTTTGTCAACTGTTCCTGGTTCATAATCCCCATAGCCCTTTTGTTAAAATGTTGGGTGCGTTAGGCCTTGTGGGCAGGCCTCTTGACTTTCTCCTGCCTTCCTTTCACTCTAACGTTCCTCCACCTTTCTGATTGTGGGTCTTAGTCTTATGAGTGGGCCCAACCCTAGACCCTGGGGAAGGAATGCTGATGTTACGAAGTTTCCATAAAGACTCAAGAGGTCGCAGTTGGCTGGGCACAGTGGCTTACACCTGTAATCCCAGCACTTTGGGAGGCCAAGGTGGGTGGATCATGAGGTCAGGGGATGGAAACCATCCTGGCCAACATGGTGAAATCCCATCTCTATTGAAAATTTAAAAATTAGCTGGGCATGGTGGGGCGTGCCTATAATCCCAGCTAGTCGGGAGGCTGAGGCAGGAGGCAGGAGAATCACTTGAACCAGGGAGCTGGAGGTTGCAGTGAGCAGAGATGGCGCCACTGCACTCCAGCCTGGCAACAGAGTGAGACTCTGTAAGAGGTCACAGTTCAGTGAGCTTCCAGGTAGTCCCCCCAGGAAGGTCATGGAAGCTCTGTGCCCCTTCGCCCACATCTCACCCTAGGAGTCGCTTCATCTGTACCCTTTGCAACATCCTTTATAATACACTGGTAAACATGAGTGTTTCCTTCAGTTCGTGAGCTGCTTCAGCAAATTAATTGAACCCAGAGGGGGTTTCGGGAACCCTGACTCAAAGCCCATCAATCAGACATTTTGGAGGCCTGGACTTGGGACTGGTATGTAGGGTGGGGCAGTCTTGTAGACTCAGCCCTCAACCTGTAGGATCTGAAGCTATCTCTAGGTGGATTATATGGGAACAGAATTAGAGGACACCTGCCCCGCATTGGTGTCTGTTGCTTGGAGTCTGGGGAAAAAACCCCACACATTTGGTCATAGAAGTCTTGTTCTGTATTGATTGTTGTCACGGTGTGGCAGTAGAGGAAAAACATGATTAGAGAGAGTTTTCCCTTCATAGTGGGGTTTCTTCTGGAAAAGCAAGACAGGGCATGGTAAACAGTTTAGGGCTGGCTAATTTGAGTAATTTCAGTGAGGTTTGGGGCATAGGGACTATCTCTAGTTGTCTGGCACCCGGCCCTGGGTTGATTTAGGGCAGGGGAAATACTTGGTATATGAGAGTTTGTTAAGGAAGTGGTTGTGGGTATTTTTTTTTTAATTAGAAGTTCTCTTTTTATAAAATGTCGAGAGTACACTATTTGATGTTTCTGTAAATGTCCTTGTATGACCCTATCACAGTAGAATGTTCACTTTTTAAAATTTCTAGTGGTTCATGAAATACTGAGGTCTGGAGTCCCTGAACCTGCCGCTCACCCTGGCTGCTGGTCCCTGAGGATGAGTCCTCCAGCTCACATCTCTGCATCATTATCACCACCCACCACGTACTCTTTGGTGCTAGTAGTTTCCTCCTTAGTGCAGTGTTTGGGATGGGAGCCAGAACCATGGTGCCCAGCCCCAGCTCTGCTCTTTAAAAACTGTGTGACCTTGGACAAATTACTGACCTTGTCTGTTCCTCAGTGTTCTCATTGGTAAAATGAGGACTTACCATATCTGCATCCCAGGGTGGAGAGTTACTGATATGGTTTGGCTCTGTGTCGGCACCCATATCTCACCTTGAATTGAAATAACCCCCCTGTGTTGTGCAAGGTAATTGAATCATGGGGTGTTTTTTCCCATGCTGTTCTCATGATAGTGAATAAGTCTCATGAGATCTGATGGTTTTATAAAGGGGAGTTCCCCTACTCATGACCTCTTGCCTGCTGCCCTGTAAGATGTACCTTTCTTCGCCTTCTGTCATTATGTTGAGGCCTCCCCAGCCATGTGAAACTGAGTCCATTAAACCTTCTTTTCTTTATAAATTACCCAGTCTCAGATACATCTATTAGCAGCGTGAGAACAGACTAATACAGTTATTGCATGAAAACAGCTTGAGAACAGCACCTGGGAGACCAGGCTGTGTGCAGGGAGCCATTGCAATCTTATTGTCATCCTCATCACGATTATTGTCATTGGCATGCCTGGACCTGGCACTTTCTGGGCAGCGTTGTGAGGCTTTGTGGTTAAACAGTACAGAGATGGCAGGACCAGGTGCTTATTGACTCAGCCATTCACCAGTTCTGTGCTCTTCAGCAAATCACTTTACCTCCTGAGCCTGGGTTTCTTTGTCAGTAAAATGGTGTTGATCACAATGTGGACTTCCTGGGGATGCTGTGAGAAAATCCTCAGCTAGAATCCTCATTTTGTCTTTGGTCTACAGGAAGAGCATTATAAAACATTGCTTAGAATTCAAAAAAAGTAAGACTTAGATCAATGAAATTGCATACCTTGTTTTGAATGAAAAGAGTCATTATTTAATATGTAAACACATCAGTTTTTCTCTAAGATATTCCATAAATACTCACTTTTGGAATTACATAATGCATTTAACTTGTGTGGCCCAGTCCCCTGGACATGGTTATAGCCTATAAGTACTAGTTTTTTTACTTACTATCAGGAGTAGAGATTCCATGGCAGCATGACATGGCCTGCTTTTGGTTTCCAGGTCACATGCCAGCTTTTTGTTCCCATGCACAGGAGGAGCTTCATTCCAAGGTCTCGTCCCCATCCTGAAGTCCCAGACTAGATTGTAGGTCTATATTTCCTTTCACCAACATCTGTGTGTCCACTTTCTTTCTCCATAAACAGGGTGTCCTGTTCCCAGACCTGAGCTGATCTACCACCTAGAGCATGGGCAGGAGCCATGGACCAGGAAGGAAGACCTCTCCCAAGGCACCCATCCAGGTAGGAGCCAAGATCTGGGCATGTGGGAATCCCTGCAGGTTTGAGGGACTGTGAGGAGACCACTGGCCCTGGGATCTCTTGGGAAACTTCTCACTGTGGCCTCTCTACATATGACCCTTATAATAAATCACAGTAGAATGTTCCATTTGAGAGCCATGGAGCCATTTGACCTGTGGTTTCTCTGTCCTCCCAGCCCCATCACACTTGTCACCATTCCTGGGAAGGAGTGGGATTTACAAACTAAGATGTGTCTGGGGGTTCCAACTGTGTGGGCCTGTAATGTGGCTTGCCAATCACCTGCTGTGTGGCCCTGATGAAGATGCAGGATCTCCTGTCTTTATATATAACTTCAGCTAAATTAACAGTAGCTGCTATTTCAGACAGACTCTAAAATCTCAGTGGTTCACATATGAAAACTCTCACTCATATCTGTGTGGGTCAGCAGGGAGTTCTGTACCACATAGTTATTCAGGACTCAGGTTCCTTCTGTCATCAGCCTGTTGCATTAAGATTATCCTAACATCCTTGAGCAGGCAGAGAATTGAGAGAATAAGGGAAGTTACACCCCCTTCCAGAAATACCAGCTCCCCTTACATTCTACCCACAGGAACTAGGCATTTGGCTTGGGTCCATGGGTCTGGGCAATGTGGCTGAGCTGCATGTCCAAGAAGAGCAGATGGTTTGGTGAGCATCTACTCAGTCCAATACACTAGGTCTGTTCCTGAAAAGTGTTATCAGAAATTATTTTTATGTCATTGGGCAGTTTGAAGATGTAATCGTGTGATACATTAATGCATAAAACTGCATAGTTTACCTTACTCTCCCAATTTCTGTTTCATTGTATTCTGCCTACCAGCCTTTCCCACCTTCTCCTTCCACCCATCCCCTGAGTGTCAGTCAGACACTAACAAGCAGTCCTTTTCCCATTTCTTCCTATATCTCCTGTTTTCCAAAACCCTCAGGGTGACATATGACCTCTGTCCCACACTTAGGCTGCTGAGGGCACTGGGGTCATCTGTCAGGTATGTGGATTGGTGCCACTGCAGAGCCTAGACCTCTGCCTGCATGGGTTCCTTGAGCTGCTTATCCAACCCTGAGTGTCTGTGCAGTCCCTGTTCAGCCCTCAGAGTCTGTTCCAGACTGTTCCTTCTTCAGTGTCACATCTCCACTTGAAAAATCTCAAAAGCACAAAACTCAGCATGCCTAAGATGGAATCCATGATCTTGTTGACTCCTGCCGCCTTCCAAGTTTCTGTGAATGCTTCTGCCATCCAGGCAGATTAGGAGACTAGACCCAACCTCAAGACAGGTCAACCCCACCATTCCATATGTCCCTGCATCTAGCCAACCAGACGGTTTTCATCTTCAGGCACAGGTGTCTCAGCATATGAGTACTGATGTATCAGCATGCTTTCTTGTTCAAAGAATGTCTGCTATCTTGTATTCCTTGATCAGCAGCCGTTACATGTTCATCTCAACTTCTTGTATTGATAACTCCTCTTTTCCTTACTGGACAAGGTCTTGCTCCAGCCACGGCCAATTCCTATACCACGGTCTAGATCACATTCCCTTTCATGGACATCCTTTCTTCATTTATATTCTGCTTGTTCTATAATTTCATCCTTTCTCTACTCAACATAAAAATATGCTTGTTTCTTTTTTCTACCTTTTCCTTATTTTTTAAGATAGGGTTTCACTGTATAGCCTGGGCTGGAGTGCAGTGGTGCTATCTTGGCTCATTGCAGTCTCTGTACCTCAGCCTCCCAGGTAGCTGAGATAACAGGTGCATGCCACTATACCTGGCTAATTTTTGTATTTTTATTTTTATTTATTTGTTTATTTTTGATACGGAGTTTTGCTCTCCTTGCCCAGGTTGGAGTACAGTGGCACGATCTCGGCTCACTGCAACCTCCACCTCTGGGTTCGAGCAGTTCTCCTGCCTCAGCCTCCCCAGTAGCTGGGATTACAGGCATCTGCCACCACCCCTGGCTAATTATTTGTATTTTTAGTAGAGACAGGATTTCACCATGTTGGCCAGGCTTGTCTCGAACTCCTGACCTTAGGTGACCTGCCTGCCTCTGCCTCCCAAAGTGCTGGGATTACAGACGTGAGCCACTGTGACTGGCTGTACTTTTAGGAGAGACAGGGTTTCACTGTGTTGCCCAGACTGGTCTCAAACCCCTGGCCTCAAGCAATCCATCCACTTCAGACTCCCAAAGTGCAGGGATTACAGGCTTCAGTCACCATGCCCAGCCTCAAGTTTCTTACACTTGAAGAAAAAACAAATGCTTGTGGCTCATGACATATTTATATATTCATTGATATATTTGTTTACTATGTGGGCATTTAATTGTTTAGATTTGGCTGGCTCAGTGGTTCATGCCTATAATCCCAGCACTTTAGGAGGCTGAGGTGGGAGGATTACTTCAGCTCAGGAGTTTGAGACCAGCCTGGGAAACATGGCGAGACCCCATCTCTACAAAATTTTTAAAAATTGCTGGGCATGGTGGCTCATGCCTGTGGTCCCAGCTATTCTGGAGGCCAAGGTGGGAGGATCTCTTGAACCCATGAGGTTGAGGCTGAAGTGATCTTATTCATGCCATAGCACTCCAGCCTGGGTGACAGTGAGATCCTATGTCAAAAAAATAAGTAAAAATAATTCATGAGAGACCATGAACCAGAGGCAAAAAATAATAGTAATTGTCTACGTTTCATTCACAAAAACAGAGATACTGTGGACATTCATATATGTAGTTCATTTTAGGTGTATATTTTTATAATTCTTGGAGTGAAATTACTAGTTTGTAGGCTATGCAAATGCTCAAGTTCGCAAGATCATTCCCATTGTCTTCTAAAGAGCCTATGCCAGTTTGCACTTAACCAGGAAAGTGAGGTTCTGTTGACCTTTTCATTATAAGGCTTCTCAATGTTTGTTCATTAAATGAACACAGAATGTCTCATGTGCCCTTGATTTGCCTTTCTTTTGCTGCTGAAATGATTTAGCAACTTAGGGAACTGTGATTTTTAGTTCATTTATATTTTCTTCTGTGAAAATACAAATCATTATTTATTTTACAATAAATTCGTATTCCATTAACCTGTTTTCCTTTCTTCATTTGCTTGGTAGGGATTCTCTGTACATTTCTGATGCATACCTTTTATCACTTACATATGCTGAAAAATATATTGTAGTTTTTAATTTTGTCCTCTTACTCCCTTTAAAGTATCTTTTTCACCAAAAGTTACTTTTTTTGCTTAATTTACTGTAGTCTAACTTATGACTTTTCTTATGTAATTAACGACTTTTTGTCTTATATAAAAATGTTGATTTACCTAATATTAAATATATATTTTATTTTAAAAATTTTAAAACTTGGCACTTGACATTTTTTCCAGTGAGGTTGATTTGGACTATATAGTGAGATAGCAATACAGTTATCTTCATTCTCCATGTGGCTAGCTGGTTTTTCTAGCTTCATTTTCTTAATTTAACATACCATCAAGTTCCATAATTAAGTATAGTTGGTATTTTACAGGGAATTATATTGAATTTATATAATTTGGGTCAAATTGTCAGTTCATATTATTAAATTCTTCATTGATATAGATCTTCTTTATTATCTTCAAATAAGATTTTATAATTTTCTTCATCTTAATTATGTGTATTTGGGGTTTTTTGTTTGTTTTTAAGAGACAGGGTAGTTTGCCCCACCATGCCTGGCTAATGTGCTTTTGGTTTTGTTTTTAAAAAAATTTTTATAGAGATGGGGACTTGCTGTGTTTCTCAGAGTGGTCTTGAACTTCTGGGCTCAAGTAATCTGCCCATCTTGGCCTCCCAAAGCAGTGGGATTACAGGCTTTTGGGAGGCTGAGATGAAAAGAGTAGCACCATACACAGCAGCCTGGCCATTGATTATGTGTATGGTGCTACTCTTTTTACCAGGCTATTCCCTGGGCATATGAGACTCTGTGTGTCAAGCCAGGTCCTCTTACCTCTTTCCTTATGAGCCCTGGATTGACAGTAGCATTAGTCACATGACCTTCACTGACACCCAGCTCAGAATCATGGCAGTCAGTTCCCCCTCTGTCCCTGGCTTGTCATCAACACCATCCTGCAGTTTCTTTGTATTGTCTCCTAAGACTACAGTGTCCTTCCCGCTTTCTCTTTATGGCAGCTCTTCTTCACAAGCATAGGACTCACTTCATCAAGCACTTCTTACGGGAAAACTCTGATTTCTTCCTACCCAGGATTAGCTGAACTCAAGGTTAAGGACACAATCCTCTAAAGCTACCAGGTCTGTCCAGCTCTTCTGACACTGACTACAAGTTTGGATCCCAAAGCCACTGTCAGGTTTACTAATTAGCTAAAAAGACTCATGGAACTCCTAAAACCTATTTTAGTTACAGTCATATTTATTACAGACAAAGGGAACAAATTAGAAGTGACACAGAATGTGAAGTTGGAAGGGTTCCCAACACAAAGCCTCAGTATCTTCAGGAACTCACTGTGCCCCAGTCTGGCATATGGCAATATGAGCTTATAGCGTTGCCAACCCAGGACACTCACCAGCTCTTCATTGCCCAGAATTGTACCGAAGCCTCATGACATAACCACAGTTGATTGTATCATCACGTTTCCAGCATGTCATCTTTTCCAGAGATTCAGCGTTTATGTTATATTAAGCTCTAAGCTTCTAATCACGTGGTTTAGTGTTCTGGTGTGGCCTGAGTCATCTCTTCGGGATAAACTGTGGAAGGATCCATAATGAGTTACCTGTTTGCATAAACTGTCAGTTAGGGCCATTGGGTCCCACTATGAGTAAAAACATTTTGGAATTGTTTACAGGGTACTTTCCATGACTTTACACAACAAGCATACTTCTTTTGGGGAATTAATTTTTGTTGCTTACTTCCTGTCTTCCATGTGGGCTCATGAGGTGCTCCTTCCTCTTGTTCTTGTAGCAACACAGAACATCCTTGCTTAGTTGCTTAAAGGAAGCTTTCCATGCACAGTATAATCGTTACTCTGTCCACCAAGGTCCAATGTGTAATTGTGAAGGTGGCCCCACTACAAACTCATTGTCTCCTGACCCGGCCTCTCCCTACTAGGTCCCCCTTTCAGGATATCCTGAGTCCAGGGACCAGAATAGAAAGAAATTGAAAACCCAATAATTTGAGATACAGAAAATTGCAAACACAGAACCAATATTTTTATCTATCGTTTTTCACAGAAATGGTAGTACTCTTTTTTCCGTGGTGTCCTTTACTAACAGGCCCTTTTGTGCACTGGATTTCTTTCAGGCGACAAAGGAAAGCCTAAGACCACAGAACCTACTACTTGTGATCCAGCTTTGTCAGAGGGAATCTCACCTCAGGGACAACTGACAAAAGGAAATTCAGTGGCCTCCCAGTTGGGGCAAGCCAAGGATCAGGATGGGCTATCAGAAATGCAGGAAGGACACTTCATACCAGGAATAGATCCCCAGGAGAAACTTCCTGGGAAAATGAGCTCTGAATGTGATGGTTTAGGGACAGCTGATGGTGTGTGTTCAAGGATTGGACAGGAGCAAGTCTCTCCAGCAGATACAGTCCATAGCCATAACTCATGTGAATCAGGTAAAGATCCCATGAATCAGGAAGAGGAAAATATCTTTAAATGCAGTGAATGTGGAAAAGTATTTAACAAGAAACACCTCCTTGCTGGACATGAGAAAATTCACTCTGGAGTGAAGCCCTATGAATGCACAGAATGTGGGAAAACCTTTATTAAGAGCACACATCTCCTGCAACATCACATGATCCACACTGGGGAGAGGCCCTATGAGTGCATGGAGTGTGGAAAGGCCTTTAACCGGAAGTCATACCTTACTCAGCACCAG